AAACGCAAATGAAACTACACGTGCATTTATATATTGCATCAGTTAGACTCAGGTATTCTGACTGAAAGCTGCTTTCTGAGGTCGGGCACTGGGAAAGCTGGTGAGCACATGATGTCTAAGTCAGCCTCCTTCCGTCCCTCCCTGTCCAGATATTGCATTGTCAGGTGTCTGTTCACTCAAAACAAGCTGACAACTGCACAGAAAAGTTCATGTTATCCATCATGTTTTGGACTGTGGAGAAATTTTGTTTTTTTTTTTTTTTCTCCTTGGGAGTACTTTGGGTACAAGTATTTTCATGAGTCGTATCAAAAGCAGACAGTCTAAATGTGTTGCAACAATTCCTGGTCCTGATAGACTTAGTGAAATCTGTTACTTGCTTGAAGACAAAGCAGACCCAGGTTTTTTTAAGAATCTTACAGGAGGCCTGGCATCTTTCATTTTTATATGTGCAAATAGATTTTAAACCGTGAATTTGGAAATCAGCTTTCTGTAGTGCTTTTCCTTTTCATTTTGTAGCTACTTGGACAGTCCTGTATTGATAGAGAAGTTCTCAGAAATGTGCTTGTTCAGACTTCTCAAAGAGGCTGTTCTCGCCAAAATGTCCTTTCCGCTCGCCTTAGTGGGAGCGGTGGGAAGTACGCGGGTGTGTGGTAGCGACAGTGAGGTACAGTCCCCTCTAAATCTGGGGCTGCTAAGCAGAACTAATGAAATCTGGCTGTAATGGTGAATTTTCCAGTGGCTGAGGGGGGTTTGTGTATTTTATGGTATTTGTAACCTTTGATTTGTAAAGTAAGATGCATCTTTATTTGTTTTGTGCTGATCGATTCTGTTTGCTGGTGTCAGAAGTTACCCTTGGGACCACTATTTAAGTCTTCTAAAGAATATTTATCATTCCATGCACTAATGATGGCTTATGGAAACGGGGAAATTTTAAAAATTACTTAAATGCACCTTTTTCTGTCATCAGAGGGACCCTGGGATTTGCAAGATGTGACAAGTCTGTGCAGAATACTGACGTTCCTCCAGTCCACGTGCCACCAGCGACCCTGGAAATTAGTTTCCCAGTTGCGTGCAGTGGAGTCCAGTAGCTGTAGCCTTTGTCTGCACAACTGATTTGCTTCTAAGACTTGTGTTTTCTTTGACATAACAGCAAAGAAGGAAAATGCTGTTGAAATGTGGGAGGAAACACGTTCAGTGTTTTTGTTTGTGGAGGAGGTTTGTGTTACTCAGGGGCTGAGCTTTGGCTAAAAGTTGAAGGCTTAAAACTGGAGAGCAGGGAAAAAAAAAAGAAAAAGAAAAAAAAAGTTAAATTCAGTAATTCAGTGAGACTATTCAGGCCCTGCTGACTTGTGTTGCTTTGGCCTTGTGCCTTTGACTGAAGCTGGTATTGAACCGTTAATTAATGACTTTGCGATGGAGTGTAAAACCTCCAGAGACTGGCGTTGCACCGATACGGCAGCCCTGCTGAGGAGACGAGGAGGTTTCTGAGAAAGTGGAATACATATCAGTGCTCACCAAAAATCTTCTGTTGTTGAAGTCTTATACTAGTCTTGATGCAGTCGACTCTACAAGTGGGACTGTGGGAGTCCGGTGTTATTTTTTGCCTCATGATTGGCTTGAGACTAATAATCCATTTCATAATGAGTTAAAGGAAGGAGAGAATAAATGGCCACTGTCCCAAGCACACTTCTTGTCTTTTAGCTGAGCCTGTTGGTCCAACTGATTTTTTTTCTACCTGATTCTTCCTGGGAAAGTGAATCTCTTTGCAAAGTGTGGCTTTACGGTCTTTGTCCTTTAAATCTGAAGTTAAGATTGTTTAGCGCGCTCTACTTTTGAGAACAAATGCTTGTTTCAGACTCCTGTGTCACGTGTGAAATGTCACAAACCTCAATCTGATAAAAACTCATCTGCTTCTTCCTGTTCTTTGCCGAGGTCACTTTAATTGCTGATTTATTTTTACTTCATTAACATAATATGTTGTGTCAGGTTAGTCTCTGAGCTCCACAGCCCATCTCAATTCCATGGTGTGCTTCCCCAGCACAACAGAAATTTTGCATGTCTTTGAGAAGTTTTCTTGCGAGTTCTCTGTGGTTCTTTGAACCAAAGCCTTAACTGCAGGGGCTGGAATCTGTTCTGGTGTTTCAGTGCACGGGTACGCTTCTGGTGCTGCAGCCGAGTGTCTGTGCTATGCCATCGCCATGGCAGTGATAAGGGATGCAGACAGGATGGGTTTTTGCGGCTAACACGTTTACCCAGTTCTGTGTGTTTCTCCTGCCCTTTCAGACTGGCTTCAGCCTTCTGCCACAGTTTCCAAAGCCTGTTTTTGTGAAGTGCTTCTAGCGCTGCTCATCTGCCATCTGCATGGGAGTCCACGTGTATCTTGTTTAGTCCTTCGTGGTAGCATCTGAAAGTCTTTCGTTCATCCTTCCACAGAAGTCAGACCATTCGTGTCCCTCACGCTGTGTGGATTCCTTTGGGGCAGGTTCTGCCCGCAAGAGGGAAGTCAGAGATCAGTACAGTCCTCTGTAAGAGGATTAAAGAACTCTTCTCTTTCGGGAAGGGCAGAAGGCACCTGGGCCTCTGTTTGCTCAAAGGCACAAAACAAGCCCCTGGCCGAAGGCGGTGACTCACAGACTTCGTCCGGAACCTTGGCTGCTTCAGCGCGCTGCTGGGCTGGTGTGATTCCAGAGGTGATCCCCTCTGTCTGTGGCCACGGCCACCGCTGCCTGCTTTTTTTAGTGTGGTGCTAGTCCTGAAGAACTGCTGGGGCACAGCAAATCTGAACTCAGAAAAGGTGGGGGGGGTCTGTGAGCGTGGGGGGTGAATACCAGAGTCCAGCACCTGGGTGAGGCTGGGAGGGGCCGCGCTGTGCAAGCCGTAGTTTCAGCAGCAGACCTGGAGCCTGACTTCACTACAAGCACAAGGGACGTGGGCAGCTCTTGGCAGGGGTGCAGAGGTTCTCAGCAGCACAAACGGAGGAGGCGCGGGTCTTATCAAGGATGGAATTCCACTAACAGTCCCAAAGTGTTTTTCTTTGGGGGCTGGAGTTTGACCGATTGGGTCTTCCACGTGCTGCCCTTCATTTCTGCGTACCTGAAAGATGGGATAAATGGGCTTCATCTGTTCTGCTCCTCCCGCCCTCCTCGGCGGGGTGGGCAGCAGCAGTTTTGGCCTTTAGTGCCTAAGAACAGGGCAGAGGTAAGCAGGTCGTATGAAGAGACACTTTTGTCAGCACCTGACTGTTGTGAAATAGCATCGGCGACTGACGTGGTAGCTCTGGGAACCAGGCGTGCGGTGGTGGCAGGGAGGGGAGGACCCCGCAGTGCAAACACTCAGCACAAAGCCTCGGGTTTGAGCAGCGTAACCACAGCTGCAGCAACGCTGTGGCTTCGCCTGCGTACGTGATGTAAGCCTTTGACCTGGGAGGCTTCTCTGCTAACTCGTAAAATCATTATAAATGGATCAATGGAGACACCCAATTGATTACCAGGATTTAATATTTTTGCAGTTATGCTAGTATTTATTGGTGTGTAGTAATTCCAGTAGGTAAGAATCCACCTGTTATCTGCAAAGATGAGTTTACTCCACCCAGGAAGGTGAGAAGTAGCCTCTTTTATCTTCTTTGGTTATATTACCAAGCCATGAAATTATATCATACACTTTAATAAACTTGTAATTTATTTTAAAAAACATCTGACGATGTCTGAAGTGGAAGTGTGCTTTACTGGTCACTAATACACAGCTGCTGAGTGCCAGCAGTGCACACTGGGATTACTGTGTGGGAATCTCCAACTCGGCAACTGGAGAGCTCTTGTGTAAGTTAAAAACAAAAGCAAACAAAAAAACCCCAAACCCACAGCACTGGGTGAGGCTGAGGGAGCCCTGGTTTATGTAACTGGTCGCTAGAGGAGTCCCCTGTGAACCTGTGCAAGTGACGACCTTGCCTCTGCTTTTCCATTAGTCACCTGATATTTACTTTCTGTCTAAAAACAATTTAGCTTCAACCTTAAGGTGGCTACTGCAACCATAATATTTAGGACAGTGATGAGTTTTGGGGCTTTCAGGCAAGCTTTTATTATTTCCACCATTAATAATCCCTTCTCATTCCGGGGGTGAGCATGAGACCCACACACACAGTGTGGTTTCGGCTTCAGTCGGTGGCTTGGCCTTTTGCTTTTCTTCTGATGCTTGATGGAGGCAGGTGGGATGCTTCAGAAAGGCGAATCCCCCTGTCGCAGCAGAGGCAGCAGCACGGGCGCAGCTCGGCAGGTTCTCGCCGCGCTGTACCGGGCTGTGGGGACGGACGTGTTCAGAGCCTGCCTGCGGACGCGCCCCAGCGCTGCTCCCGTGCTTGTTCCATCCGTGCGGATTTTACCCAGCCGTCGATGATGCTGGCTTCGAGCTTGCGCACCACTGTGACGGACGGGGGATCGGCTGCGTTGTGTCCTCTAGAGAAAGCAGAGCAGTGCGAGACAGTCAGCGGGCAGCAGCTCCTTGCCTCTGCGCAGGGAAAGCCAAGGCAGGGAACTGAAGGACAGCGGTTATCTGGTTTCTACTTTGTGTCTACACCCTGCAAGACAACTTGCGGCATCAGACCCACGGGGAGGTTGGGAGGCTGGCTCGAGAGCCCCCAGCTCTCCCTTGCATCGGTGGCTGCTGCCCTTTGCTCTGGGCCTGGAGGCTGATGCCTAACGCCAAGAGACGCTGGACTGGTCGCTACAGGCTGTCACGTGCTTGTGCCAATCCCTGTGCAAGGACACGTTCTCAGGAGCGTACGTGAGCTTAGTGCCCGGCTTCCCTGAAGGCTGCCGGTGCCCCGTGCTGGGGAAGACGACTGCTCCTCCACAGGGACGCTGCAGCAGTCTGGTATCCAGCCCCCTTTACTCAAAGCATCTCTGGGTTCGTTGCGGCCAGCTAAGATCGAACACCCAGGGCAGGAGGATTTTGTCGGCCAAAGGAGAGTTCAGTACTTACCGGAGATCTAGGTGATGAGCGCCTCCTTTAATGGTCAACGCAATTAGTGAAGGACTCAGGCTGCTGTTTATCTGGAAAGAGAAGGAGCAGAGAGAAACCCTCGCCATGTTACCAGGCAGAACTGGACATCGGTTCTGAAAACTGGAAGACGAGCTGGGCAGGACTGAGGAAAAGCAGGGGCAGAGACCTTGGCACGGCTGATACTGCGTGCGTGGCCAGCAGTCCTAACGAGCCACATGGTCTGTCTCAAACGAAGCCAAGGCTTCCCCCACATGAACACTGTCAGCCCGTTCCAGTACAGGCGGTCTGCACTGACAGGCACCCTTGGGCCCACACACCCTGCGCAGCTGGGATTGCCAGGCCAGCCTAAACCGAGGAACTCCTGCCTTACAATCAGGAGCTCAACTAACTCAAAATCCAGTTCTGCGTCATTTTTAAGTGTTAAACTAGAGCTCTGCCACCACTCTGAAGCCAAAACGGGCCCTGGTTCGAGTCGCTGCTAACAGCAACTGCTGGGTATCGCAAGGTTTGCTGAGCCTGGAGACAGCGAGGAGCACTCGGCTGCCAGCACTCCGAGCAAGTCTCGGCATCAGAACGTGACAGTTGTGGTTTGGACCCCGGGTGCTGGGCGAGGAGGCTCCTGCTCTGTCTGCGCTAGTGAAGCCACCTTTGCTGCATCAGCTCTCCTGGCTGATGGACTCTGTTCAGTGTGTCCATCGTTAACGTCCCGAGGCTCCCGAATGGCTCAGCATAAAACAGCCGCTTGCAGGAACTCAAGTGGGCTAAAGACGAATCGCCAGCGCGGCTGTGAAAGGGAGCGGGATGCGGTGCGTCCCCTGGAAAGCTGCTCTCTGTGCTCGGTGCGCGCGCGTGCTTACCCCACCTCCAGCCCACGGGTCCAAGTCTCCATTTGAAAAAATGATGTTGCTTGCAGTTTTCAGGTCTGAAATTCAGAGAGATGACATGTGAGAGGCCTCCTTCCTGCCCCTTTACCCAGACATGTTTGGCTGCTGCAGCAAATGTGGCTGAGAGCAGAAAACAGAGGAGAACAAAACAAATTCTTGGCAGTTTTTAGGTTTTCCGCTTCTGTCTCGCAAAGGTACAGGAAGGTCTGTTTGGCTCAGGTCAGCACAAGGCTGTGACTTTCTGCCAGGACTTGTTGGTGTGCTGCGCCCGTCCCCACGGAGCTCAGAGGGGGACAGGTGGGCAGGGGACTGCGGAGGGATGAGCTGCCAGCACAACTCACCTCCTCCCCAGAAGTTTGTCTGCAGCCAGCGTGCCCGTGGCCTGACGCGCCATTTGCTCTGACAGTACTGCTCACGCATGGCCTCCGTGAAGGGCAGCGCGGGGAACATGTCGGTCACGTTGTTGCTCTCGAAAGTTAGGTTGATCTCGGTGCAAACCTAAGAGAGGTGCAAGAGGTGTCGCGGTGTTGGGGGATAAGCAGGGCAGCAGCTGGGACCTGCTGGTGTCCCAGCACCTCACCTGGTAGTCCCAGGCCTCGGCGTCTGAGCCGATGCTGCAGCCCGTGGGGTCAGCGCAGGCCTGGTACAGCTGGTATATGTCATAACACTGTGTGGAGCCGGAGGAGTTGTAAAACACCCCTGCAAGGTGGGAACACAGCACAAAGCAGCCCGTCAGCACCTCTGCTGTCTCACCCACTGCCTCCCGCGTGAGCCCCAGGGCCAGGACCCAGCAGAGGGGTAGCTGTCCCGGATGGGCAGAGCTAGCAGGGCCTGCGCCAGCGTTGGGCTGCAACCCCAGCTTTGTGCCAAAGCTTTCACGCGTCTCGAGCCTGGCTGCGTGATGCCCTTTGCTTCTGCTGTACCCACAGGGAGGAAGAGGCTCCTAGATGCTCTCTGCTGTCTCCGCTCGTGCCCAAAGCCAACTGACTGGCTTGCTGGTCCTTGGGAGAGCCCTGGCCTCCGGTCCCTGACGCTCCCAGGAGCAGGCTGCGTACTGGACGTTAGCAGAATGCTTCCAACGGAATGGGACGCAACTGCTGAGACCTCCCCGCCCCCACCCTGAAAGCAGCTGCCATCTGAATGCATCAAATTCAGTGAGAGGGCCGAGGGTGGCACGTCACAGACAGGATTTTGTTTGACTGTTGTTCAGGAAGGGAAAGATGGCGTGTGCAGGCTTGCCCAGACGAAAGAGCACCTGACCGGGCGGCCCGGCGAAGCATAGCTGGGGAGCTGCCAAAGAATGCGCCGCTTTTTGTGCGGATGGGTAGTTACCAGATAGCGAGGAGGAGGAATGCGGCTACGCCAGTGGCCCTCCACTGCTGCCAGTGTCACAGCCCACAGGCAAAACCCACAAACACTGCGGGTTTTGTGCGATAGCCAGCACCAACAGCTCCACTTGGAAACGGGCTGGCGCGGCTCGGCAAGGCACACGGCACCGGGCTGAGGACGGAGGCTGCTGCCTTTCGGATGGCTCCGTGGCGTGGGCAGCACAGCCTCAGCTCCTTCGAAGCATGAAACCGCTGGTTCGGCTGCCGAAGACAGCCCCGGGGATGCA